ACCGCATTGAGTGCCCACTAGGAGTTCTTGTACTGTGAGAACGGAAGAAAAGTACTTCTTTCTCGATCTGCACTATCCCATGCATAATCTTTTAAACCTCGATCATGTCACCCCTCAGTCGTTGTTTCTCCAAGCTAAAAAGCCCCAAGGGAATGTGCCCTTTTCTGCATTTTTTCTAATGCTATAATATCCTTTTTGAGGTGTGGCGTGGTGTGGTGACCAGAATAGAACACATTATTCCAAATGAGGTTGCACTATTGATTTATACAGGAGCACTATTTGAAGAAAGTTTTATTGTTGGTCTTCATGCTTTTTGCAGTGTTCTCCTCATATTCTCTTTTAGCCTGCCTGATGACAGACTTACATTTCATTTGCCACAGCCTGTGTTCCCTTTTATCAACCTCACTGAGACTAGCTTTCCATCGCTAGTCTCTTTGTACCTGAGCAGCACTCAGTTCAGTGGGTTCATGAGAAGAGAGCTCACAAGTAAAGCAGACCCCTTTTTAAATACATAAAGGTTTGTTAAGGATTTAAAAATAAAACATAACTAAGCAAGAAAGATTCTGCAGCTCAGCCACAGAAAAACAAGGAAAGCTAACTGTTCTGTCTAATACATGAAATACGTGGTATTAGGTGGCACCTCTTCTACAGCATCAGTATTCCAGCTGTAGCCCAAGTCGCTCTACAGAAAACTGTTCATCATGATGCAGGAAGAAAATATCAAGACATGCTAGCATGGCATGAGCATTAAGTTAGCCTGGCTTCCCTCTTGTCTATATGTGTATTATATTTTCTACCTTCTAAGGTCAGGTGGTCCTAACGACCCAATCAAGGGTGTCTTCCTCCCCTTTTTTAATTTATTTTTTTATTGTTTGTTTAGTCTGTTACATTGAGTATTTTTAGTTATTTACATTTTCTCCCCTACCATCCCTCCCTCCCTCCCTCCCTCTCTTTTAGTCATAGTCCTTTCCCCCCCAGCCAAGGGCACAGAGTCTTAATCTTCCACTGAATGTCCTTCCTTCTTTCTATCAGCATCCAGTCTAGCTAGATCTTCCATTTGGTCTTGATTTCCGTGGATTTTTCTTCCCATGTTATTCCCTTGATGATTGATTCCACAATATCTGACTGTATAAAATCAAACAAATAGTTGTGCCAGATTTCTATTGTCTATTTATTTTTGTCTGTCCAACCCAGAGCGATCACTGCCTTTCCCGCCAGTATCATAGCCTTGACTAGATTTTGAGTTTTCTTATCCAAAAACGGGCTTCCTATTGTGCTTAACAGCATTAGGTTAAAGTCTATAGGTAATGTTACATTGCATACTTTCCTAATGATTTCAGTAATTTTCCTCCAAAAGGTCTTTACTTCTGCACATTCCCACCACATGTGCGCATACCAGCCCTTAGACTGTTTACAATGCCAGCACGAAGAACTCAGTCCTGGGATCATATTAGCTAGCTGTGCTGGTGTCTTATACCATTTTGTGAGGAATTTGTATTCCAATTCTTTAAATTTAGTTACTTTGATCTCTTCAATTCCTTTCATAATTTTATCAACCGTACTCTCTGTTATCTGACCTTCATGACTCCATCTCTTTTGTAAATATTCTGTTATTTTATTTTTATTTGTTAGCATCTTTCTATATATTTTTCCTACCAGTCCCTTTTTTTGCTTAGCCATTTCTTTGTATATTTCTTCCATTGGTGCGTCTATCCAGAGGACTTCCTTTTCACTGATGTTTTTAACTATCTTGTATAGCCCTGTTATTTTTAACCAGTATTGTTTGCCTATCTCTTCTGTTATTTCCTGTAAGGGTTTTAAGTTTCCCCCCCTAAACATATCGCCCACTTTAGAGTAGCCTTTAGATTTTAGCATTTCCCACCATTTACTTTCTTGCGCTCCTTTGTTTATTGTTTCGAGGGGGGTCCATCTTGAGACTTTCCCTAGCCAGTATGGATACCCGTTCTACCAAATTTCTAGTGATGCTCTTCTAGGACCTATTGTCGTTTTAAGTCTTTTGTCGTTACTCTGGTAACCTTGCTAACCTTTCCTTTCCCCCGTTTCCTCCTCCAGGATGCATTCGGTCCAGAAGTCCTTGTGTGCACTGCTGGTGCTGACGGCACCCCTGGCTTTCCTCTATCTCCACGTTTGGTCACCCAAGCCCTACAGCACAGTGGACCTACGACATCGGCCTGACCAAGCGCCTGACCAACTACTGAAAGACCACGTGCTGCTGCCCGACAAGAAATATGCGCACATTGCCTTCAGGGTCAAGGAGGAGATCTTGGAGTAAGTTTCTTAGGTGTTCCTATTTTTTGCCTGCATCTTACCTGGTCAAACGATGTCCCTATCCTGATTTTGGGGACAGTGTGCCATACATGCCTCTTACAAAGGTCACTTATACCCAGCTGTTTGCCCTGGCTCAGATGCTGTTGGGAAGCTGAGAATCCCCCCCCCTTCCCACAGCCTTGTTCGGCTTCTGTACCCCTCCTTCTGGGTCCCTCCCACCTTTTCTCTGAGCTTTCCAAAACCTGATGCACTGTGATGTTCTGGGAAAGATTGCAGCAAAACCGGGGTAAGACCCACATGGGTGGGAACACTGGGATCTTCCTGGTCCCTCCCACATTTCCCTGCACCAGTCCAGTGAGGTGGCCATCCCCCCCCCCTTTCATTTTTTTTTTAAATCCGCTACTGACATACCATTAGAGTGTTACAATGCCATAATGACCTGTCTGTCTGATTCTCTGAATTCACGGGTTTCATTGTTTGGTGTAGTGGTTAGGAGCACGGACTCTAATCTGGGAGAAGCAGGTTTGATTCCCCACTCCTCCACGTGCAGCTGCTGGTGTGACCTTGGGTCAGTCACAAGTTCTTTCAGAGCTGTTCTCTCAAGGGCAGTTCTCGAAAGAGCTCTCTGAGCCCCGCCTATCTCACAGGGTGTCTGTTCTGGGGTGGGGAGGGCAAGGGAAAGGAAAGGAGATGGTAAGCCATTCTGAGACTCCTTCAGGTAGTGAAGGGTGGGGTATAAATCCAATATGTTCTTCTTAATAAAAATAAGTTCCTAGCCCTTTTTGTTGCAGAGATATGCCTTTCCCCTTATCCCTCTGCAATGAAAAGGACTACAGACTTACTCTTTAAAAAAAGTTGGGAATTCAGAGAACCTGATAGGTTGTTATAACACTATAATGATACACCGACTGCCAATTTTAATATTAATTAAAAACGTCCCTGGTGGTGCAGGGTGGGGGACAGTGGCCACCGTTGGGGGGCAGAGGAAAAATGTAGGCAAACCTGCCAAGTGGACGCCCCTCTGCTGCTGCACTGTATCAGCAGCTGCAGTGGCAGCACACATATCACACTAGCTCCTCGTGTGGACGACACCTTGTGTGCTGCTGTTCTTGTTTGCATTCCTTTCCTGAGATCTCTAGAAACTAAGTATGCGGGAGGTCAGCTAACATCTTCAGTCTGCTGTACGTCCATGTAAATCCCTGAGCATGGAAGCAACATGCCAATGCGTGCTGTCTCCTACCACCACCCCATCACTACCGGACGCTGAATGTGGCTCAGTGTGTCCCAGAGGTACCCATTCTCCAACAAGTCCAGCCAGACTTCTTGTGAAATTAAGTGCTGTTTTTAATAGAGTGTTCTGAAAAGTGATTATGGTCACTTTATCCTCCTCTGGAAATGATGCTTAAGAGTAATTGAATTCCATCTACAGGAAGCTTTTAGCAGTGCTGAGAGACGTATGCTCCTCCCTTTGCAGGCTTCTTCCTAAAAACTCTTGCAAATGCATGGTGGAACCGAGCATGCACCTCCCTTTCCAAAATCAGCTCTTTGGCAAGGTCAGCTACCTGGATTTTGCGACGGCATACAGCCCTTCCGAACTGCCAGACATCAACAACAAGCGGGAGCAGGAGTACCGCAGTTACCGGCAGAGGTGAGCCTTCCTCGGGGCTGCCTGGTTCTTGTCTGCACCCTGCAAGCACCGCAATTAGTTTGGGACACAGGTTCCCGAGATGGCTCAGCATTCATTTATTCAAAAGTTTCTAGTCCTCATTACAGCTATAAAGATGTTCGTGCACAGGTTGCGGAGTTTAGATTTTTCCAGCATTTTCAGCGTGTGCCCTGACTAACCTTGTCCTTGTGCTGTTTCATGGAAATGGAACAGTCCGTTGGGTTTGAGTCTAGCAGCACCTTAGAGAGCAACAAGATTTGGGGGGTATAAGCTTTCCAGAGTGAAAGCTGCCTTCATCAGATAGATGTATCTTATCCAGTACACTGTTGCCTCTCATATAGTTAAGGGTACCTACGGGTCAGGAAAGACTCAAAATCCATTTCAATGAGGGAGGGGCCAGAGAAGGCCCCCTAGTCTAGTATGGTAGCTCATTTGTGTATTCTCATACACTTGCAAATTTTGGCACCCAGTGTGGTGTAGTGGTTAAGAGTGGCAGACTCTAATCTAAAGAACCGGGTTTGATTCCCCACTCCTCCGCATGAAGGCTGCTAGGTGACCTTGGGTCAGCCACAAGTTCTCTCAGAGCTGTTCTCTCAAGAGCAGATCTCTCAGAGGTCTCTCAGCCCCACCTACCTCACAGGGTGTCTGTTGTAGGGAGGAGAAGGGAAAGGCGATTGTAAGCCACTCAGAGACTCCTTCGGGTAGTGAAAGGCAGGGTATAAAAACCAACTCTTTTTCTTCTTCATACCTGACATCAATAATAATAACCAAATCAAGATAAAACTAGTACATGAAAAGATAAAACTAGTCTAGAAGATCATAGCAACAGGATTAAAACAGCATTCATCTAAGTCTAAGACCTTCAGGTGCCTTCTTGTGTGAAAACTAAGTAAAGTTGTTTGTCAGGCTTCTTTGGGTAGGGATTTCTACAAGAAGGGGGATGCCACCAAAAAGGCTCTAATTTTGGGGTATTTTGCTAGCTCCACTGCAGGTGATGCCACCCAGCACAGGGCCTCATTTGATGACCTCAGCATGGGGAGAGGCTCCTCTAGGAAAAGAAACCCAGGTCAGAAATTTTGAAGTTTGGTGTAGTGGTTAAGTGTGCGGACTCTAATCTGGAAGAGCCGGGTTTGATTCCCCACTCCTCCACATGCACCTGGCTGGATGACCTTGGGCAAGCCATAATTCTGACACAGCTGTTCTTGAAAAAAGAGCATAAGAGAACATAAGAACATGTTGGATCAGGCCAAAGGCCCATCCAGTCCAGCACTCTGTGTCACACAGTGGCCAGAAATACCAGGTGCCATCAGGAGGTCCACCAGTGGGGCCAGCAGTTTCTGTCAGAGTTCTCTCAGCCCCACCTACCTCACAGGGTGTCAGTTGTGCGGAGGGGAAGGGAAAGGAGTTTGTAAGCCACTCTGAGACACCTTTGGGTAGTGAAGGGCGGGATATAAATCCAATCTCTTCTTCTTCTGAAGTAGTCCTGGAAACTAATTTTGAGCCAGTTAACATCGTCAAGAACCAGAGTTATATGCCCTGTCCTGGGTATCCCAGGCAAGCCCGATCTCATCAGATCTCGGAAGCTAAGCAGGGCCAGCCCTGGCAAGTACTTGAAAGGGAGACCTCCAAGGAATACCAGGGCCGGGATGCAGAGGCAGGCAATGGCAAGCCACCTCTCTGAAACATCCAAGCCCCACTAGGGGCCACCAGAAGTCACCATGACTTCCAGGCACGCACGCACATATGTACAAATATACCCCAAAAATAAAAGAAAAACAAGAACCGAAAACCGCTCTCCTCACAAGAGAACCAAGCATTTCTCGCAAAGTTCTGTCTCCTAGCTCTTTCACAACCCTCGGCAAAAATGCTTTCCTAATTCCTGAGGGTTTTTGTGAGAAATCCTTCATGGAAACCTGAGGAATGATATTCAGGAAACTCTCTTTGTAACAGATTGTGTTTTGCACTGTTGTCCGATGGTTCAAGACATTTCTGATCTTCACCAGATTGCACACAAACCAAAGCTTCCTGGTGTATACTCAAGTCTTGGATCTTGAACGTCCGTTCTTCACTTTGGATCATGCCCTTCATGCAGGATGAATGCCAAGCATGCATAAGCAAGATGAACTTGTTACCTCCTCCAATCAAGGACAAGAGTTTGAGAGTCAGAATTTCCAGGTCCTTAACAGGAGTACAAAATAATTCTCCATGATCCCAATTGGTGAAAAGTGTAAGCACGAAATTAAGATTGGCAAGAGATCTCTTGGTGCCATTGGCCTTAGTGAAAAGTCCACTGCTCTCTTATGCTGGCTGACCCAGACCTATCCCTATTGCTGAAATAGTTTTGGGCATGGCTTTTTTTGTAGAAAAAGCCCAGCAGGAACTCATTAGCATAATAGGCCACACCCAATAGCAGAAACTCATTAGCCTATTAGGCCACACCCCCGACAGCACCACTCATTAGCATATTAGCTAATGACCCACATGTTACCAGAAGTGTGCTCATCCAGCCACACCCACCTTTTGCTTCTTATTCTGTTTACTTTGTTTGTTGTCAAAACCCAGAGCTTTTTTTGTAGCAGGAACTTCTTTGCATGTTAGGCCACACACCCCTAATGTAGCCAATCCTAATGAGTTCCTGCCACTGGGTGTGGCCTGTTATGCTAATGAGTTCCTGCTGGACGTGGCCAACTCAGGAGCCAGCCGGAACTCCGTTCTTGTGCGTTCCTGCCCAAAAATAGCCCTGGTTTTGGGAAGAATGTTTATCTGATAATGACTCAGGAACCTGTTTGCTTCCCAGACACAAAAGGCCCTCAATGCAAAGCTCTTCAAAGGGGCGTCAGAGAGCTCCTTCAGGCTTTCAGGAACTGTGCAAAACTCGTTTCTGGATGACTTCCCAGACATTCCGCAGTACTTGAAGAATAGCACTCTTATGATTTAGCTATTGGTGCCCTGCAAAACAAATGCCATAAGGAAAGAAAGAAAACAGTGTCAAGATTGATAGGGAAAAAAATACCCACAATACTTTGTTGTTGTTAAGTCGCACAGTAATTCCCTTTCTCTTTTTAGGAACCCCCAGAGGCAAAACTATAACCATAAATCCATGTGTGGTGTTGTCAGGGGTAAAATGGCCTCTTGCTTTTCCCACGGGGAACGAGGGAGTTACACTGCTTGGCTTTGGTCTGAAGCTACTAGACCTCAGCAAGGAGTTCACATTTCTCTAGGTGGTCCCAACCTGGATGGTCCAGGGTAGCCTGATCTTGTCAGGTCTGAGAAGCTAAGCAGGGCTGACTCTGGTTAGTGGGAGACCACCAAGGAAGGCCCCGGTTAGTGTTTCGATAGGAGACCACCAGGGAAGTCCGGGGTCACAACACAGAGGCAGGCAATGGCAGACCACCACGGTTCGCCTCGAGAACACCAAGGAGGTCCCGGGTTGCTACACAGAGACAGGCAATGGGAAACCACCTCTGATCATCTCTTCCTTGAAAAACCCTTACAGAGTTGCAGTAAATTGGCTGCGACTTGACGGCACTTCCCACCACCAGACCTCAGTGAGGAGTCAACCTCAATCCCACCTGGTCCCTTTTCTCTTTTCTCTCTTGGCTGCCCCGACAGACCACAGATAGGGTCGCAGCAGTCTGATAGCGAGAACCAAACTCTCTTGGCAAGAATCGGACTCTCCTCCCTTGAGGAAGGAGCAAAAAGCAGCTTGGGGTGGCTTTTTCCATCAGGAAAGCGGCATGAGAGTAGGGCTGGCAGCTCCGGGTTGGGAAATACCTAGAGGTTTTTGGGGTGGAGCCTGAGGGGGGCGAGGTTTGGGGAGGGGAGGGACTTCAGTGGGCCCTCATGCCATAGATGCCACCTTCCAGAGTGGCCATTTCCTGTCGTCTGAAGATCATTTGTAACCTCAGGAGATCTCCAGCCGCCACCTAGAGCAGAGGTGTCAAACTCATTTGTTACAAGGGCTGGATTTGACATAAATGCCACTTTGTTTGGGCTGGGCCATGTGTGCCACCAGGTACCAGAGATATACACTTTAGAAAGAACACAGGCAAGCCCAGTTAACTATTTCTTTTACTCAAAATACAAACAAAAACAATTGATTCCTGGCAGTGGAAGCAATTGATTTACTGGGGAACCCACAAAAGCCCCAATAAATTTATTTAATCATATGCAAGGCTAGGTTTTTCCCAAGGGATACCATCAAAGGGAGAGCACCTTACATTTCCATACATACTAGCTGCTTGCGGGCTGGGTAAAAGCCCTGGATGGGCCAGTTCTGGCCCCTGGGCCTTATGTTTGACATCCCTGACCCTAGAGTCTGGCAACCCTACATGGGAGGAAAGAGTTAAGTTCCCCCTCTCTTCCCCATGCCACTCTCCTCCTTAATAAAGCAATCCTGAAGGCTGCATTTGCAAAAAACAGAGAGCGAGAGAAGGCGAGGGGGGGGGGAGAGAGAAAGCGGAGAGTAAGTTAAAATAACCACATGGAAGAAATTGTATAATGGGCATGCTTAGGTTTGGGATGCTAGCGGCAGTGAACAGAACAATAATGGGCTACCACCACCCTGCTCAGAGGAGACCGACGTTGGTTCCCAGTCCCTTATTTGCACTCCCTAGTTCCTAGAGTGTACGGCTGCGTGGTCTGGGATGGCCGTAAGTTTATTCTGAGTGGCAGAGGGCCGTTCCTTATTCAGAGCATTTTCTCAGTGTAGGGGCTTTAGTACTGGACCTGGGCACCAATGCCTGGCGTCTTGCAGAGCACAGTCCCCAGAGTGTGTGGGTGCAAGCTCCGGGGTACGGGTACCCCCAGGATCCCCCTCTGCCTCTCTCCTGCAGACCACCCGCTTCGGAGCAGGTAGCACAAACTCCCAGCTTTGAACCAAGTAACAGGTGAACCAGGTGACTGAGCTTGTTTTGGGGGTGTGGAGCTTTCTCAGTATCATCAGTACTTGTGGTTGGAATCATGAATAAGGGACTGGGAAGTGTGAATAAGGAACTGGGAGCGAGCTTCAGCCTCATGTCTGCAGCCTACAGAGCCGTCCTTCAACAGAAGCGGCTCTGGAAGAAAGCTCCCGCCTCTGCTATGTGGCAGGACATAAGCCGTGACCTTCATCCGTTGGTTCCTGTGCCCTCAAGCTGCCATATGGCAAGGAGGTGCTCGGTGGGCAGAGTGTGGCCTCTCAGGAGGAGTGGCTGTCCTTGCCAAGCTTCCTTGCCATCGTGTCCAATGCCAGAAATATATTTTCCAGCCAGAACTGCTGGCAGCCCTAATCTTTCCCTCTTGCCTCCACCCAGGTCCCATTCCCCAGCTGACCAACTCCTCATAGTCCGAGCCAACTCTCCACTGGAATATCCGTCCCAGGGGGTGGAAGTACGGCCCCTTCAGACCATCCTCATCCCAGGTGAGGGCCTTTTCCTTGAGTCTCTGGAGGAGTGAAGGGGAAGGGCTGGACTGGAAGGCAAAAAAAAGTCATGTGCGGTTGGTGGGGAGACCGTAGTGGATAATAAATGCTCACAAATCTCTCCTGTATCTTTTCAATCCCCAGGTCTGAGTTTACAGGCAGTCAACAGAGCATTGTATCAGGTAAGATGCCCGGGGCTTGGATAGGGTTGGCAGCCGCAGCTGACTACCTGCAAGAAAGAATTGGGTTGAATTGATGGGTACAAAAAATGGAAGTGACATCATTACATTGAGGTGACACTCTAGGATTTGCCCAAAACTCTATGGTCAAACCACAGAGTTTTGGACAAATCCTAGAGTGTCTCCTCAACATAATGACATTACTTGGGGGTTTTTTTTGCTGGACGTTGGTATACAAGCATGATGCCAGCACACTCCACCTTTCCCCCCATATTGTCCCCCCACCAGCCTGTGCAATACCAACAGGGAACAGGAGTAAAGAACATTACTATTGCTCCATCCTCCTTACTCCCTGTGCCTCTCTCAGACACTCTGAGACAGCAGCTCTAGGTCTCTCAGGTGGAAATCTTTTGCATCTCCTACTACCTGACCCTTTGAACTGAGAATGCTGGGGGTCAAACCTAGGACCTCCTGCATGGCAAGCAGATGCTCTACCACAGCTCCATGGCCCTTTCCGCAGTCTCCCGCACACATACCCTGTTAGGAAACGGGGGACTGTGACACTGCAGGGATCTCTGGGACCATCTCTCATTTCCTGCTGTGAGCAGATGGGTCAATCATCCCTGGCCGGCTAGTAGAACAAAATTTGCAATTAAATTTTCAGGTTGCCTTGCCATAGGAGGTCAGCTTGTTTTTTCCTCTGCCTCAAAATGCAAACAGGTCTCATTACCTTTGATCTATGAGATGTCCTTGAAAAAGAGCTATTCCTGGAAAGCCAGCCCACCCACTACCCAAAATTCACAGAGTGTCTCCCTCCAAGGCTAACTCTGCTCTTCTTTGGTCCTGTGGCAGATCGACCTGTCAGCGACAATGGGCACCTTTGATGTGGCTGCTGAAGTGGAAGGGGTCAAGGTGGAAGGGGAAGGGGAAATGCACCTCACTCTGTCGGGACCCCACGTGGAAAATCTCAACCGGCAATTGCAGTTTGTTTC